CTTTGACTTGTTTTAGATACCTTCTGAAAAATCGTATACATATATAGTTTCATCAGCTAATACCGAAAATAATGCAGCAGTTTTCACTTGTTCATCAATAGACTTCTGGAGGTATTCTCCAATAAGTTTCATTAACTCGTAGTATTTTGTGACTCAGGTACGTTGAAATTTTGGGTGTACTCTCCAAACATTTTCTAAGTATTCAGTATTCAGGAGGCTCTACTTCCCCTCAAGGCGATGTCAATTTTTGCATATCACCCAAATAAATATATAAGTATGAATTTTCAAAACTGCCTCAACCTTGAAATTTCAGTTTTCCATTTCTATTATTAGAACCAAATTTAAATTGTACTAAGATTATAATTATATATATATATATATAATGTCCATTATAATTTGTAGTCCATTATTGGTCTTTGGTGGAAATAAGATTACTGTTAGAGTGTAGGATTGATGTAGTTTTAGAAATTCTTACTTATGAGTATGAAAAGTACTAAATTTGGAACAATTTGGAATTTAGATTATTGTTAAAATAATGTTTATGTGTATGAAGAGTACTAAATGGTAATAAACTTGATATTAGATTTAGGAATAGAGGTGGAATTCAGAACTATAGTACAAAAAATTATACAGTATTCACGATTTCCATATGAAATATTATTTTTTGTATTCCCTTTCCGCATACGAAGTATCGGGTATTTTGCTAGTAACTGAATCAAATGTTGGATATGTGTTTAAAGTTTTCTATAAATTAAAAAAATAATAAAATAAATTGTATTATATAAATTGTTATTAAAGAATTTATTTTTATAATTTCTTTGTTATTAAGATCTAGTTTTATTTATTAATTTTTTTAATAATAGTTTTTGTTTTTAATTATTTCTTTTGTAATAGTTTTCTAAAGTAATACATGTTTTCCATTGATATTTTTTATCAATTCGTAAATTTCATATTAATATACAACTAATTTTGAAATTTTATTTATTTCACAAGAAATTATATGATTTTCAATTCAATGATTTGAAAGCGTTGATCGTTTGTGTGACGATTCATCGTTAAATTATGGACCAAACTGAAGATGTATGACAGAAACAGAAAACACGAGATGTGTGTAAACTGTTAAAAACAGAGTGCCAATAAGATAATAGCTAAAAAATCACCTTTATTAGTGTAATAAATTTGTGTAATTAAACTGCAGAATTCCCTTTAACCATTGCTGCAAAATTCATAAAAATCGGTTAAGTATTTCCGGAGTTATTCGAATTTCAATTCTACCATGCTCCGAAATATACTTTCAGTTCGATGCTGGGCGCCTATTACCAAAAAATGAAAAACACCACAAAACACCACGATCTTGCAAAAATGGAAATTTTTTGTTCATACAGCTACAGTGTGTGTATGTGTAAGGAAATATATTTTACATTGCATATGTGCATAAATCACATACATATGAAGCAACAAGCAATTGCACCACGAACTGCCCGTTGCCCCCCACAAGTATGCTATAATTTTCATACAACAGCAGACATTGGGTCTGTTCTATTACTGCAAGAATATACTCGATTTTACTATTTTCTTCGATGTAATAAATGAAATTTTGTTATCGTAGTAAAAAGTAGTAGATTTTTGCAGTACGGGAACAGACCAATTATTAAAACAATTTTTCGTTTTCCTACCAATGACCAATTTTTTACTTCATTATGATACCATACAAGTCAGGAAAGACAGCCCTGAGACCCACTGATATTTGTGGTCCGTGGTATTTTTAATGAATCCACGCCCATATCTGAACAGAGGTAAGATTATCGATGAAAATGGGAACCATCACCGTTTTTTTACACATTTCTTTAAATATTAAATAAGCAGTCTTAGTGTATTTTTATAGCAGCCATCTTTATTTAAGGACTACCAAATCAGTTATGTTGAATATTTTGAAATCTATTTCCTGATATGAGCCCAAAAATATTGTTCCGAATATCAAACCTGGTACATGTTACGGAGCTAAAAGTTGAATTTTCTATCTACCTGTTCTGGATGCCTGGTAGGTTTGAGCAATTTCTGAAAGAAAATATCCAGCTGAGCCTGACATCGTTCATCAATTTGTTCATCTACACTACCATATTATTAAGTACTATTAAGTAAATAGTGTATGTAGTTGAGTTATTTCATTATGTATCTTCTTCTTTTATTGAAATAAAACAAACAAACAGATTAAAAAATACTAAAAATGTGTGTCTATTTATGGACGTCTAAAAAAACTCTTAGTGGGGGTTTACAATATTAGTTGTTTAGGAACAATAACGTCCAATATCACAATTTGAAATAAAATCCCAAAAATTTGGTGGAATTTTGCGCAAATTTCACAAAAATACCAGGATGAAGTAGCAAGTTGCCCGCCAAAAAAAAAATAAAATTTTCGAAAAACTTTGGTCTGGCAACACCCAACCCACATTTTTGTGTTTTTGGCGGGCTACTTTCTATTTTCTTCTGGGCGCCTGGTATTTTTGTGAAATTTGCGCAAAAAATGCATACAACCAGTTGAATGAAAAATTGTGACGTCATCACACAAATTATGACGTCATCACGTAAATAAAAACAAATAGTATTTTTAGTACACTCATTATTCTTTATTTTTTTATTCAATATTCTTTGTAAAAAAATATATACATACATTAAAAGAATATATTAAATATAAATTTTAAAAAATAGTTTTCTTAACAACTTAGCCCACTTATTTATATATTCTATTGTAATCCTTCCTTGTGGAATTTTATGATTGGGAGATGAGGATAATTCCAAATTATATATTGATCGTTATCGGCGGGCCTGCCATATTTTCAAATAATTTGTATATCGTTTTCGATAAAAACCTGGAATGAAAAATAAAAGAAAAAATTAAAAATATATATAAGCATTAATTAATCTATACTAATAAAAGAGTAAAGTGATTGACTGACTGACTGATTTAACGATTCATCCCAGACGCCCATACGAAACGGCTGAAGATAGATACTTGAAATTTTGGGTGAGGGTCATTCTTGGTTCAAAGGTGGCAGATAAGGCTGGATTTTAGAAAATTCGTACTAGAACGGTACGAAAAGTACTAAATGTGATATAATGGCTATAAAATGGCTAACCGGTAGAGCTAGAACTCTTAAATTTTAAATTAGGGTCACTGATGGAGTATAGAATAGATATAGCAACGGGTTTTTTAGACATACGATCTATAAGTATGCGAAAAGTACTAAAATGTACTAAATTCAGTACAATTTCGTAGCATGTGAATGGAGCTAAAAACTTGAAATTTGAAATGCAAATTAAAGTTCAGATATAAGGAGCTGGCTTTGTATACGAAAAGTACTATATGGTACTATATTTGGTACAAATTTAATTTGGAGGTACAAATCGAGTTGGAATCCTGAACATTTTAATTAACATTACCGTCGAAGTTTAGGATTGGGATATATACGTAGTTTTGGAATTCTTTTAACATATGTGTACGAAAAATACTAAATCGCACTATAATTGGTTCAATTTGGATATGGGTGAACCGATAGAGCTGGAACAATGCAATTTGGAGTCAGGATCACTGTTGGGGTGTAGAGGTTTGGTATGTAGTGAATATTGACGTAACAAGCTAAATTATTAACAATATTTTGTTTTTGTGTCACTTTTGTGAACAACCGTATGGCTTGGTCCGGGCACGTGCCGGAAAAAATAGACGAAACATCTTATGGATCAATGCAATCAAAACAATATTTTTTGTTCAATAACGACCACCGCATAAGTGTACGATTCCCCAAGGGGGAAATCATATATTGTTTACCAGAAATGCAGTGGAACACGTTGACAAACAAATGGCTTGAAACTGATTTACCTGGTATGGCCTTTATATAATATTACGCATTACTGACCAAGGAAATGCTTCTTATGTGGATATTTCAGCAGAAAAAAATTTGCAAATTATTAGAATTTTCTAAGCACTGCCAAAAATGACTAAAGGTGGATGCAGACTACTACATAATAATATAAACATCGAAAATTACAATCTGTGGTAATACAATCGAATGTACCTATATAAATTAATAGTTTCCAAAATGTACTTTTTATTTTGTCCATTCATTTTTGAGACTTTCCTTTTTATCGCGTATAGAAATTAATTTATATATATATATATATATATATATATATTTAAGAGAAAGCTAATTTTAAACTGAATTACATTTTAAAATATAAACATTTTTTCAATTGAACCAAAAATATGCATACTCAAGCGTGTACTTGTTATTTTGTGTGTAGATCACATATATAATTTTGTCCGATTCCATGTCAATGTTCCTCTAAAGATACTATGTCTGTTCTAACGACAGAATATCGTATGTATGCGCATCTATGCATGTATATAAAGTGGTGAAGGGTATCATATAGTTCGACTTTTGCACTTTCCGTACTGACTCTTTTTGTACCATGGACGTAATCTCTATCAAAAACATATAAAAACAAAGATTTCGATATATACAGTAATTTATTCATTATTTACATTCGTAAAGAACACATATTAATTGATATATACAAATCTTATAGCTGATGTGAACATCGATGAAAACAGATAACGAAGAAAATCCGCTTTATTCAAATTGCAGATTAGCCCGTACTTTGTATAGACCTTTCAATTTTCGAGCGAGTGCACTTTTAATTTATAAACTATTTGAATACACGTTGCGTTCTAATACCGTCACGATTATATTAGCATTGATTGGAAATAACTTGTATTTGTATTTCTTATCTAGGTAATACTTATAGCTGATATTGTGTATCAGGGGCATCGTATGTGTGTGTGTAAAACGATAACAAACTGAAGCGAGTACCTTTTTGGGGTTTTTCTTTATGGAGAACAAAATCGAACGATTAACGAAGACTGTTGGAAGCGGCGGGTACAGCGTGCCAATTTATGATGATGCTAATTTCACAAGCCACATCGCCACCAACAGACGTGCTAGTCAATCGATCCTATTGGTTGACAGTAGTCCCTGTGCGTTGTTATTGCCATTGTCACCACTGACAACCTCAGCAATGAAGACTTCCCACTGAGCTTGCCACTTCTGCAGAGCTACTACCTTCTGCTCGGGCGAAAGGGAACTGTAGTTGATCGAGTTCATTGCCAATTTCTTGAGGAGTCTCAAGTCAGAGTGGGCGGATGCAATGCCCAGGAAGGCAATATAGAAGTCATGGGATAATGGGGTCGCCTTCCAAAATGATGGGTCATCTGGGGAAATGACTACTGGATAATTGTCGGCGAACAAATGTGCACATGGATGATTACGGAAGTCTGACACAAGTTGCAGCACCTGGTTCGATATTGGATTCACCTCAACGGCAATATTTCGTTCCTTCACCATTTGCAGCACCAATGGATGTTTAACCAAAGCAAATCCGTGTCCAATTCGTTTGGTTCCCAGTAGGACGGCATCAATAAGGTTTTCATCGACGGCAGAACCATACCAGTTGGTTTCGCCGGCATGGAAAAAGAAGTCAATATCATCGGGCATGTTTAGCAGTTGCGGAATGAAATCCTTGAGCGGTCGACCGGGTTCCTCTTGACCCACCAAATCAAAACCCGCCACAAAGTCCGGGAACTTTTCCTAAAACACAAAATTTTTATTTTCATTTTCATCGGTTGTACCCAGATCACTCACCTTAATTTCGATGCAGGTTCTAATAAAGTGATCCATGCCTTCGTCATTAATGTTTCGGATCGGAGCATAAATTAATTTTGATCCAATGAAATTTGGGTTAGCGGCCATAAATTTGTCCAAAGTCTCCTTGTAAACATTGACCGTATATATTTCAGGGTACTGGTTTCCATCCAAGTCGTACAACTGCAAAACAAAGGAACTGCATATGTAGTGCGATACTCGTAATTGTAGAATGGTGACTCAAAATGAAAATATATTTATGCTGGTCTATCAAATTCGGGTGTTTTTAATTCATAATACAAATTAATTAATTGCATTCTATTCTTTAGCCCGATATCCACAAGCATTTCTGAGGCCATAAATCCAATCGTATGTGAGTAATAATGCACATTACCGTATTGTATTAAGCCACATGCAGGTATTTCCCGAAATTTAGAGAACACCAAGAAATACTACCGAATAACAACACTTACCGACGGCAAAGTCGACCGGAATTCCAAATATTGGACACCATCGGCATAAAACTCCTCCAGGGCATTGTAATAGTAATCAACCCAAACTGGAACATACAACAGAAGACCGTCTAAGAGGCGAAAAATACTCATAAACCGGTTCCATGCCTCATTGTTATCTGGGAATTTCTCCACAGGATACATTGTAAGGTGATCCCTAAGGTATTGGTCGACGTAATCGGTGCCATTGACTTCTCGGAGTTTTGACATCAGACCCCAAGTACAGTCAGCATCCATATCGCTCTTCTCAGGCTTTACCTTTGCAAACCTCAAACCGACTATAGTTTTCGATGCACTATCAGAGCAAACCCATAGATTGTCGCGATATGTCAGCTTCACAAGAAAATCGGTACTGCACAAGGCCGTATCGTGTGCGTGCAACACTCCACCTTTCGGCATCTTCGAAATTAACTTAAAGAGCGGTGACTCCCTGATATCTTCCAAGACTTTGAAAAAGTGTTGGGACGGGGCAAACAAACGAGGAACAATCATGCCGTCTTCATACTCCTTGGTCTTAACAGTCATAATCATTTGGTTGGCTTCCAACTCCCGTTGAGTCAGTTCTACATCAGCTCCAAATGATTTCGACTCTTCGTAGCGGAAAAATATGTCGCGAAGCGAGTTGTATGCCTCCGGAGATGGCCTTTTCGAAACATGAATTTCATGTTGTGGAATCATGTTGGAGCTTCTCATATACGACGCCGATCCAAGCCTTTGGTGTGCGGCTGCGAAATGCCAGCATGTCATATACAGGATACTTATCGTCCAAATGCTTTTGAGTATCATTTTCGTTGTTGTCGAATCAAAAACTGTGACCACGGCGAGCAACGTTCATCCACAGCGATAGTTTGACTTGTACTAACCACCCCACCCGGGCAATTGCTTTGTACTAGCAAACGACAGTTCGTATTTTTCTCTCCTCCCTCGCTGTTGCTTTATCTGCAAATAATTTCGAGCGTTAATATTTGGGATCATTCTTATTGTTAATGTCATTCAAAATTGCCAGTATTCGAAAATCTTTATCGCACTTATGGGCATGGGCGTAATAATGTTGATTGTATTTTCTTATGTATGTCGCTTTGTGCTCACATGGAATGGTAAATCTTATCACATTCTTCTTTCTCTCACGCACAAAATGCAACAACAGCATGTCATAGTCGGCAGCCAACGGGCGACGAAGAGGGTAGGATACCCGCTTAAAATCTTACCCAACACGATGACGGCTAAATGATAGAATTACATTGGATTGATTCGAATCGGCGACAAGTGTTGCTATAGCACTGCCGTGCTAATGTGCAATTACTCGTAGATACGAGTATTTGATTTGTTTAACACCGATCGTACACGTCAAAATAATTCGATTACACGAGCAGCAGGTTGCAATGCGGTAACCCTCTATGGGTGTGTATGCACTTTTGTACCTACACCACACTGAGGTACAGATCATTACGTGCATTTGTGCATTTGTAACACGAAACAAGTAAAAATGACGCTAAGTTCGGGCGGGCCGAAATTTGTATACTCCACCACGTCTGGTGTGCTTTCAAAATTCCTTAAACTGATAGTCCGCATCATTTCATATTGGAAAGCTGGTGAACTTCAACATGCGGAAAATTAAAACAGAAATTTGTATGCCCTATTTTCTGCACAGAATGCCAAATTATAGCCAACTCGAGGAAAATTTCGGTTAAAAACTTAATAATACCGAAAATGGTGGATATGTCAAAACATCGACAGTTGTTGCCAAAATGCAGCAACTAGAGTGAAAATTCAGCTAAAACTTTAAAAATCCCGTGACCTATTTCAAAAATTCGGTGGGAAAATACTGCTAAAACCTAACAACTTCCGTAAAATGGGGTGGGGGTTATGCCATATTGACATTCATCTAAATATTGACATGGAATGTGGGTTAAATACACAGATGGAACTGCTGATTATAATGAAAGTGAAAATGATTAGACTTTGAAGGTAATCAATAAAAAGTTCGTATCTAAAAGTTATAAACACGATTTTTCCAAAAAATGTATGTACAATACTATCAATCTACTCCTTCATATGTTCTCTGTGCAGAATTTGGCGACCATTTACAAACGTAGGAGTTATTGTCGATAATATAAAAATAGTCGTAGAAAGTGCCTTTAAAATTTAAAAAAAAATTACATAGCATGCTGAAGACAAATATCGAAGATATTAGATTCACATTCAACCAAATGGGCAATAGTTATTGATTCGCATTGGGTAGGCCATTTTCTTACCATTATAACGGTATTCCTCTAATGTTTTTTTTTTTTTTTTTTTTGAGAATCTATTCGCTGTTGAAATTGCCTATACTAATATTTTGAATTTTCATTGCCTTTGCAATCTTCATACCGAAAACTATAAATATTGACTTATGTTGGGTCCGACTTATTTCATTTTAAATACTGCAAAGATATGAACAATTAAAATTGAGCCAATTCAGTTGAAATACGTGCACAAAGCCCCAAATACCGAATAATAGGGAGTAGCGTTTCAAAACCAATCGCCTATGAATATTGCGATCTATATAGTGATTTCAACAGACAGAAGAACATAGTTAAATCTACATAAAATTTGATTCTTATATCAAAATATTCTGCAATATTGTGATCCCATAACCTAAATAGTATATTTGTATAAAAAACATTGACATCATAGTTTTTTACTTATTGATAAAAAATGTAACATGTGCGTGTCCAAAAAACATTTATGTTGGAGATTAATTTAAAAACCTCGGTAATGCGGATTGGGGTCTGCAATCAATTATCCGGATTAGCGAGATTTTACTGTATATATAATTCTTAGTAAGATATTACTTTATTTGAATTTAATATTAGTTATTAGCTGTGTCCTGTTGACTTCTGCTCGTCAACATACCCCTACATCCATGATCATATAATTCCGACTGATATGTTTTTCGATAAAATTCTTTGTTGTTCTACTCAAACAAATATCATTACAAATTTATATTTCCTCACATACTACAAAAATATACAAGTGAATTACTAACATTTGAGTTTAAATGTGCTCCCAAATTCAATTTACTCAATCTGCCTGATGGGAAAAGATGTGGAAGCGATAGAAATATAAATTTGATAGATTTTCATTCATGTTTTTCTAATTTTATTATGAGCATTCGAAAATATGTCATTTTCAAAATAGATATAATTTATTTATTTGTTTATATTTTTCTGTCAAATGACGTGGACAATAGTATAACTTACAACAACAAATTTCCACGTGGTTGTTGTATTGTTTTTTTATACAAAAACACTTGCTGTTACCTCCTATTATTATACCATGGGCAGTTAAAGTAAACATGTTTCTGTCCCTGTACAGAAATAATCTACTAAGGAAACATTTTTATCGTAGTAAAATTTGTATATTATTTTCAATCATCTACGGCGTTCCCAAAACGAAATTCATGTAGATAAGGTACGGATGTTCAACAAACCCTATATTAGTGAGCATAAGTCAATAGACTTTAAAGTATAAATATTAACCCACATAACACCATCGTTTTTTCTTTAAAATTCATGTGTTAAAACTTAATCACATTTGAATAAAACATTGTTTTATCATGAATCCACTAGTATTTTTACATTTGCTACTCAGATAATTTGCTCAAAAAGAAGATTTATATCTATATCGAATAATTGAAAGTGCCAATACCATCACGAATAAACAAGTGCTGCTCTGTAAGCAGTGAAATAATTCCTAATAAAAACGCCATCTCCACCTGATGATAACAAAATTCACAATCGAAATTATAAAACAATGTGTTATATTCAACGCGTTAGACTAATGATAATGGTAGTTAACTTCTAATATTTCACTGATAAGTTCTGATTTATTTGTCAGAAATGTTATCAGATTCAATAGCGACGGATATGTAATTCAATGTTGAACAAACCAATGACAGCGAACATATCGAACGGCAGAGGGCTGATGTTTTAAAACTTCCTCCTGAGTTGCTCAATTAAATAATTCAACAGTAGTGAGCTAATATGGGCCGCTAGTTCACCCATAAGAACTAGAAAGAAATGGGTTGAGGAAAACCGAACCTACCCACCTAATGCTGGCGACCCCTGCAAACGTATAAAGGACCACGATCTGCGATTATGGTTAACAAGAGAATAAAAGACCTCGTCTCCAGATTCACTCCAGTAGATGAACGAATTGCTATAATCCGTAAAAATGCGATGTTTTTCTACATCATTCTCTTTTGCGCCCCTGCTCCGACCGAAGATAAAGATGAAACAGCATGGCCGTTGTCCTGGCCATGACTAAATTGGAAAAACTGCGCAAAAGACCAACGCGCCTGGAAATCGTTTTTAATCTCGGCTTATGGAACGAAAGTTCTGTCACAAGCCAGCTAACTAACTAACACCTACCTGCCATAAATGGAACACCTACCTACCATAAAAATAAAATTATTGTTAGAGTACAGGATTGAGAAAGTGTTGGAAATTTGAACTCATAAGTCGAAAAGTACTAAATTATACTAAATATGTAAAATTGGCGAAGTTTTGGAAACTCGTACTTACGTCCACGAAAAGTAATAAATTGTACTAAATTTGATACAATTTGTATGTTGGTGAACGTATAGAGCTGGAATTCTCAAAATGGACATAAGGTTATTATTGGAGTGCATTACTGAGGTAGTTTCTTATGGGTATGAAAAGCACAAAATTGGGTACAATTTGTACTATGGTAAACGGGTAGAACTTGAATCGTGAAAGTTACAACTTAGGCTACTGTGGGAGTGTAGGATTGATATATGTTTGGAATATGGATACGAATAGTAGAGAATGGTACCAAATCCGGTACAATTTTGTTTTTAACAAACAGACAGAGCTGGGATCCTTAAATTTGGAGTTACTATTACTATTTAAAAGCAGGGTTGAGGTAGATTTGGAAATTTGTACTTATGAGTACGAAAAGTACTAAATTTGGTACAATTTGTACATTGGTCGAATTAAGATTACTGTTAGAGTGTAGGATTGATGTAGTTTTAGAAATTCTTACTTATGAGTATGAAAAGTACTAAATTGTACTAAATTTGGAACAATTTGGATTTGGTTGAATCCTGTGGTTTGGAAGTTTAGTATTGATCTATAGAGACAACTTTGGAAACTCGAATTTTTGTGTACGAATAGTAAATAGAATAGAAAATGAACTAAATTTGGAATGTGGGTCACTGACGAAAAGTTAGAAAGAAGTACCAAAGGGTTTTTGGTACTAAATTTAGTGGTGGTGGTGTTCGAAAAAAAATATATAATTGGAATTCAGATCTATATTTAATCTGTGTAATGGAAATACGAAGGAGATTCCGGAAAATAGTGCTTATGTATAAGAGGTGAAATTCAGAACTACAAGTACAACAGCAATTGACGACTTTCATATGAAATATGATTTATTTATTTTTTTATTATTCCCTTTCCGTAATCGAAGTAACGGGCACTTTGCTAGTCTTCTTATCTTAATATATAAAAGAGCTTAATGTTAAGTGAGTAAGTGTGTGACTGACAGATCATTGCCCAGACGAAACGCCTAAAACTAGAAGCTTGAAATTTTGAGTCTGGGTTGTTGTTGGTGTGTAGGCGTGAGATAAGGCTGGGGTTTTGGAAATTCGAACTAGAAGGGTACGAAAAGTACTA